CGTATCTCTGGACAGTTGGGCATATTTGAATTTGTAGCCAAGTTCTTTTTGAGATAACTAATAGAAATAGAAATGGTTAAATTTTAATTGAAAATTCTTTCCATAGAGCATCACATCTGAATTTTTATTTTTTTATTTTTTCGACCAAATCCGATCATTTTCATTCATCATTCATCCATGTATTTGTTCAAAGACGAAAAATCAACATTTACTTTCCTTATGACAGATACAATACAAGAATACTGATCTGATTCGATCCATTATTTTAGCTAATGCTGAAAAAATGAACCGTCCACTTGATTTATTCAACAAGATTTTTTCTTCATTCAAATAATTAAAATTGATAACAGTAAATCGGATTTTTCCGGATATCGAAAAAAAATCCTTGAAGTGCATTTTACGCTTGAATGATTAGCATAGTATACTTTTTAATGCTTGGCATGATTGGTAACGAAAATGAAAATCTGAATCCAACAAAAATACACAGAGTTTCACATGGTCTGAAATTTATCAAAAAAAAAAAAAAAAAATTCGGTAAAATTGAATAAACGAATAAAGCCTAGTCACTTTATTTGTTATCATCATCATGGCAATTGTTTTTCGTTTTGCTCATTTCAAATGGCTATCGTAGGCCATATACATGACCCTTTTTATTCAGTTGCATTCATTACAACTCTTTCCAAATATATAAATGAATGAATGGTGCAATTCGAAACATGAAAAAAAACGAAAGGAATGAAATTTAAATTTGAACATCATCATTTAGAAAATGATGAATACGTTGTTTGTCAACTAAAATGGAAATCATTACTATAGTATACTTTATTCGTTTTTTGTTGAGAATCTTGAAATATGCGAAATGATAATAATGTTGAGTGGCAGCAATATGAAAAACATGCACGAAAGAAAACTATTGCCATGTGTCGTCGTTTTTTTCCTTAATGGCATTTAAATTGTTTAATCGATTGAATGAATGTTTTTGTTGTTGTTGTTGTTGTTGTTTTCTTGTACAATGGTATTTTACCAGTCTTGCAGAATCCAATTGAACCATTTAGAGTTCATTGTTGAACATAATGATCATCGTTGATGGTGATGATGGAATAGTTCAATTCAATTCTACTGAAAGAAAAATTTGAATTCAATCAAATTCACATTAGCTCACTACTTTTGTTCTTTTTGGCCAATGATGATGGAATTTGTGAATAAGAAAATTTGATAAATAGAAATTCTTCAACAAGATAAACACATTCTCTCTTTGATTCTTGTCCACGATCATATCAGCACCATTTTCGTCACTTTCAATCATGATGGACAAATTTTTTCTGAAATAGAAATGATTCTTGTCTATGACACATTTTGATCATATCGTCTTGGTTTTTATCATCACCATCATGGTTTCATTATCATCTTGAAAATCAGAATCTTGGCGACATTGTCAAAGAATGTTTTCGTTTTTTGCGTTGATCTGACATTGTGTGAAAAATATAAGTCTAGAGAAGAATATGTCTACTGTTGTATATATACTTGTGTATGACACAAACACCGGTTTCAGTGTCGTCAATAATGTCGGTTCCGATCAAAAAAACCTTCATCACATTCATTCCTTGGCTATTTTATTTATTTATTAATATTCAAGAGCAAAATGATTTCTACAATGAACAATTTTTTTTCCTATTGATAACCATCTCCCTCTTGTTTTTTTTTCAACACATTGGCCACATTTTGGTTTTCGAACAAAATCTAACTATACATTGCTTATGGCAATTGGCAATTGGCAATTTAAATTTTATTCATCACATCACATCATATCATATCAATGAATGGTCATAGAGACCAATGTAAATGAAGACGACGACTGTCGACATCATTTGTGAAATGTAGCCAAACTAGCTTTTTGTTGAGGTCAAAGTTCTTTCGATTCAATTGATGATGGTGATCATTGTCTTTGAATCAATATTGTGTTTCCATTGAATCATCGCCAGAGGACGTTAGTCGTTCATTGAATTGAGATTTTTTACAAATCATCAATGTTGATGAAAATTCAAAAAAAGAAAGAAAGAAATGATTATCACCAAATGAAAAAAAAAACTTTAACCAAATGCCATTTGTCCAATACATCTTTGATTAGGATGATGTTTATTTCACGAATGGAATGAATGAATGATAACCATGACAAATTTAAGCGGCAACATGAATGAAATCAGAAAAAAAACAACATAAAAATTCGCAATATTTCGGCCAATCGCCCTTGTCGTTGTCGTTGTTGTTGTTGTTGTCGCTTGAGCTGAAAATACTAATGTAAAATTAACGCCATTGACCGTCACAAGAATATAATTAGTAAATTAGTTAGTTAGTTGGCTGGATGGTTGGTTTTTTTTTTTATTCACTTCATCAGCATCATCCAGTAGGGTCATCATCATCATCATTTTGATAACATTTAAATATCCCTGTTATGTGTGTGTATATAACCACTTGGTTGCTTATTTATGATCACATCATCATGTCCTCAACCACTTTTCTTGAACATTTTTTTCTCGCTTTTTTTTGAATTTTCTTGATTTTATCCTAAAATAATTAGACGCAGGCATAAAGCAACTATTATGTAAAAGACTAATTTCAACTTTTTTTGTATAAGATGCGTCTTATATTCGCGATTTTGGGGTATTGGGGTATTTCATTTTTCAGTAAAGATAAAAAATTGACTTTTTTTTGTATGCTCATCATTACACTGTTAGTGGTTTATATTTTGTGATAATTTGTTCGATATGAATGCGAAATAACCATTATTAGGGCAATTAAATGTTTTTCGATGATGATGAAACAGAATTTCCGGTAAACTAGGTTGATTGTATCGAAAAAGAATATTCGGATTATGACTCTAGGCTATTTGTATCTATCGAATTTGTATGGCCGGATATTGAAGTTGTATGTGGTTGTACGTATATCATGAATTTTCCAAATTTCAAAATTTATATAAACCGATTATATTGCATTTATTTTTCTGTCCACCATTGATGATTTCAATCAATCCACACAGCATTGAGTATTGAATCGTTATGTTGAGCATCGTCCTCATTTATGATTGTCATTAACACTTGATATTCTTGTCTTGTAATTTGATCTTATCATGATGAGATCATGATAATCATGAGTATGATGGCATTTAATGAATTATTTGATTTTTCGAGGCCCACCATACATTCTTTGTTGCTCTCTTATGTTTATTTTAACAACGTCTGAATGTGATTTCTCTGATTTTCTAAAACCATATTGATGATCATCATCAACACCTTGATTTAAAACAATTTTTTCCTATTCGGATAGATTCATTCATTTCAGTATGAAAAAATTCCATCTTGATTTATTATTTGATTCTTAAAAAAAATGGTCGGTTGTTGTGTAATTCATCTATTTCGATTTTTTCGAGGAGTGTGTGGCATTTTTTCTTTCTTAAAAACTTGACGAAGATTTTAAGAATGATTCACATTCTTTTGACAATCATCATCATCCAATTTTATCGAAAACACAATTTGTTTTGAACATTGAATCGATGCATGAATGTTTCATACCCCTTTGTTAAAAAATGGCAATTATTATCATTGAATCAAGACCATTTTCACTTTGATTTGATTTCTTTTTTCGAAAAAAATCGTGTGATTGATAGAATTACCATGATGATCATTGATTACCATCATCATCATTTAGTGAAATTGTATGTGTGCGTGTGTACTGTCTACATGACCCTCTCTTTTTCTTTCCGTAAATCAATCCTTGTACGACCGAGTACAAAAGGTGATGACCTTGGTTATATCAATGAGCAAATTATTATCATTTAAGCATCTCATTATATTGGTTTTTTTTAAAGAAAAAACGAATTATTCAAATGAACAAAAATTTCATAAAATTGATTCAATTGTAAAGAATCGAATGTTAATTTGTTCCGTTCTTTGTTCATCATTAGCTAACAAATGATTCATTTATATTTGAATAATAACCATGATTATTATTATCATCATCATTAATATTGGAAATGTTTGTGCATACATCACTGAAAAAACCGTACAAGTCTATCAATTTTTGTTTTTTTTTTGTTATTATTGTTGATATTGTGTTCATTCAAAAACTTGAACAAAATCTATTTATCCATTGATTACATGATGGTTAAGTAATCACGCTTTTGCTAACGCCTCTCTCTCTCTCTCGATACAATTGATCAGCCACAAGAATGGATGGATGAAAGTTTAGAAAAACTAGATTTGACAACAACGAAAAATAAATGGTTAGATTTTCAGACGCAATTCATATTTTTCATTCCTTGTTGTTTCGTTTTTTGTTCAACCTAACATTCGTTGATTGTTGCCAAATATGAAAAAGGAATACACAGGGGTAGTTTTTGCAGTTTTTTGTTTTGTTTATCATGGTAATTCATGATATTTATGATATGATTTGCATGACTTCTGAAATTGTGCGTGTGTATGTTTTACTCAACCATATCATATCACATACCTTGCCATAGAGAGCTATATGGTATGGAGTATATCATGTCCATCATTATCATCATCATAAACAGATGTTGAAGTACCTGCAAGCTTTGAGTTTTTTGTTCATATTCTTTGAATCCTTTTTTTCAAACCTTGTAATTATAGCTTATTAAAATAGAGAAAAATTTTATTTTATTTCCTCCATCAACATTTGAAAGAATCATGTTGTTGTTGCAGAGTTGGTTGGTTTTTTACTATTCAAATTCGCAAATATCCAAATTGGAAAAAAACTTGAATTGATAATGATAATGATGATGATGATGATGGTTGATGGTCGAAAATCAAATTAAATCAATGTTTTTTGGGTTGGTTTTTCAACTGAATCAAATTCAGTCAAAGATGCATTGATTCCTTGGAATCATGACGTTATTCTTTCAATCTGCTTTTGTTTATCTGACTTGAAAATCTTGTGTCAATTGCAATCTTTTATACAAGGATCGTCGTTTCGTGATTCGTCATTCGTCGTTCGTCGTTCGTCGTTCGTCGTTTCTCGTTCGTCGTTCGTCGTTCGTCGTTCGTCGTTTTTCAGTCGTCAATTATTAATCGTCCGTTCGTCAGTCGTCGATCACAAGCAAAAACATACTGCCTTCTCTCCGACGCTTTTCTCACGTGGTTCTTTTTCTCCTCGTTTTTCTTGTCGTCCTCCAACTCAAGTTCGTCTTGGGCCATTCATAAGTGACATGATGCGTTGGCATTCGCACCATTTCCTCCCCCATCTTCAAATGACGATTCGAGGGGGGCGATCTTCTGGGCTGGTCTCTCCAACTCCCGACCATCGACCTCGACTTTATATGTACGAACGACCCCACGTTTATCTGCTATTCGATCGACCACACGTCCTACTTTCCACAACGACACCGGCAAGCGTTCATCCACCACCAAGACGTGATCTCCAACGCGGACTTGTTCATAATGTCGATTGTTCTGATGATACGTTCGTAGTCCCTTCAAATATACATCTTTGTAGGTCTTCCACGCGGCATTAACCAATCGCTGGGTTCCTCGCCAGTATCTCACCAAATTACCAGGAGTTACTCCCTTTCGCGGTGGTACCATTGTTTCACGCGTATTATGTCCATACACCAAATGATTGGGTGTCAAAATGTGAGACTCGTTGTTTACCAATGGTCTCGCGTTCATCAATGCCTGGATTCGATACAATATAATTCGAACGTCATTTGATTTCACCTCCTTTCGCCATACGATGCTATAGAAACCCCGCTTCATTGACTTGATCAAAGCTTCGTAAAAACCACCTCTGAACGGAGCTGCTGGGGTGATGAATCGCCATTGAAATTTTTGTTTTAGTACCATGAATGCTTCGTTCAACATATTACCAAGTCGTTTGAGATTCGTGCCATTGTCGGAATATACCACTGATGGTGTTCGATGTAACGATGCGAAAATCATAAAAGCGTCGCACAAACCTTCTGCCGATAACTTTTCCAGCACTTCAAAGTGCACGGCTCTTGTAACACAACATGTGAAGATCATACCGGTCGTTTTTGGTTGCGTTCTCAATTCGAATAAATCCACACCAATGTTCTCGAACGGATAACTTCGATTTACTCTTTCTCCTGGCGGATTTCCCCAGAATACTTTTAACGGTTTAGTTGTCATTTGTCGACACTTTTGGCATCTGTTCTTGATTTTAATCAGCATTTGACGCGCTCGTGGTACGAAATATTTCATTCTTACATTTGCCAGAGAATAAGCCACCGATCCATGTTCGTCTCGTGAAAGAATCATGTTGTTGTTGCAGAGTTGGTTGGTTTTTACTATTCAAATTCGCAAATATCCAAATTGGAAAAAACTTGATAATGATAATGATGATGATGATGATGGTTGATGGTCGAAAATCAAATTAAATCAATGTTTTTTGGGTTGGTTTTTCAACTGAATCAAATTCAGTCAAAGATGCATTGATTCCTTGGAATCATGACGTTATTCTTTCAATCTGCTTTTGTTTATCTGACTTGAAAATCTTGTGTCAATTGCAATCTTTTATACAAGGATTAATTAGTTGGTTAGTTTGATTTTATTTTCAAACACATTCTGGTCAATTTTGAAACGGAATTCGATTCGGTCTTGGTTTTGATGACGATGAAAGGTTCATCTTTTGAATCGAATGGCTTTTGGACAAAATGATTGGAGTGATAAAAGTAATTCTTTTGGGATTGAATTTGTAATGTGATTACTGAAAGGCTCGATTATCAAACATAAAGCTAATTACATTAATGGATACTGCTTTCCAAAAGGTGATTTTTTGCGCTGAAATCTTAATGATGATCCAACCAAGATATTCATGTTATGCCTTCGAAGTGTCCCAATAGTATTGGCTAGAATTGTCCAAAGTGTACTAATGAACTTACGAACATTTGGAAAATCTAATTGTCCAAATGTTCTTTTCTTTGTTCTGTGTGATGCTTTTAATTTATTATTGTTATTCAGATTTCCACATAATTCCGAATGATTTGTTTCTTGTGCTCAGAAAGAATTGTCAGAATATAACCCTGTGTCTTGTTCATGTGGTCATCGGCATTATGTGTAATGAAAAAATGATGATGACCGAACCCAAAAACCGTTGGCGGCGATTTTTCACTGAATGATTGGCTTTTTCAAATCACAACATATGATATTTCTGTATGTATAGATTATTTGCATATTTCAATTATTTGACTGAGATGAAATGAAAAATCTGACGAATAGGTCTGGTTGGTTGTTTTTAGTTGGTCATCATTCTCTAATGATTAGACTCAATGACTCACCTGAGAATTTTTCTTTAGAAAATGATGAAAACAAGTATATAATTTGCATAAAATGCAAACACATCATTCTCATCATTTTCAGCTCAAAAGGAAAGGTATTCATTTAAAACCGCCAAAAGCATCAATTAGTGATTACCTGTCTTGTTTTTGACAAACAAAAAAAATGATGAAACGAAAACAAAAACAAAAACAAAAAAGGTATCATTATACGCCAATTGCATCGGACAATAATAATTGACAACCTTGTTCGTGTAAATAATTTTATTATAGTATTGGCCAAAACACCGCTGTTTACACCACAATATATCAATGATTGAATGTATATGTATTTTATATCTCATATCACAGCAATAACAATGACGATGACGACAACAAGACTAAATTTAATATTGTCACAAAATGTAGCCATACCATTATATTTAATAATAACAATGAGTATGAATGAGGATGGGCCAAAGTGTTTGTAGTATTTGCATCGATTAAATTCGATAACTTTGTTCATTGTTGTTAGAAACATGATGATGACCATCTTGTTTATTGACAAAATTTTACAATTTTTGTTTGTTCCTAATGGACACAACACTTTTATTTTCATCATCATCATCATCATCATCATGTAAAGATGAATGGCACTAAATTTGGATATTGTTGTTTCATGGCCATTTGATGATAATGATAAGTTTTTAAACGAATTTATCATACAAATTTACATTTCCTCTCTGATGACCAAAACTTTAAAATTAATGATGATAGTAATAGAGAATATATTTTCATATATGAAATAGGATTGGTCCTAATGATGATTTTCTATGTAAATGTTTTCAATTTTTATATTTTTTTTTTTCTTTAGGGCGCGAATCAAATATGAATAGAGATGGTTAGTAATTAGATTATCCTATTCCTATTCCTATCCTGTCTTTCTATGATTATAAACAACAGGATTGATGTTAACTATTTTTTCGGGTTATTTTCTGCCCGAATTATCATCAAATTTTTGATGCAAATAATCAATTTGCCTATAGGTGTATTTGGATATTTCAACTCAACCACACCGCAGTAAAATCATTAGTAGTACTAGGCACTAGTAGTGCTTGTACTCGTCATTGTCCGAATATTCTAATGTTTAACCATGTCATTTGGTGGAAATCAACATTTTTTTTTTTTCATTGTCGCTAAATCTAGATTTGCATAAATATTATATCCATGTAATTAAATCAATAATTTAATTTTCGCTCTTACAAATCTTTCTATTTATTGATAGTCGATACATGATTATAATGTTACAAACTACAATGTACTGTGTCTGTGTATGTGTGTGTGGTTGGACTAGTTATATGTTTTAATTTGGAAGAAAAAAAAACATTGGTGATTACATCATTCATTGAACAACGAAAATCATTTTAGGCCTTTTGTATAATTATATACGTGAAAAGATGATAGGTAGCTCTTCTACAATTGCAATCGCTCAAGTTGGTTTGGTTGGCTTCATCAAGTTTGCCTTGAAGCAAATAATCATCGCTCATCATTGATGATTATGATGATGATGATGATGAAGCTACAAAGATTCATTCGTTCATCATAGTTACTGACAGAATCATAACACAGAGAATATAAGCACATAGCAATTGAACCTAGAAAATAAATTCTCATTACTGAAAAAAAATATTGCTACTGGCCATAAGTGTTTGATTTTTTTTGTTCATTTTTTTGGTATTTGATCGATTTGTTTGAAAAAGCCAATTGTTTATTCATTGATTGTTCATTACGGATGTTGGATAATAATAGATGAATTTTTTCAAATTCAAGGTTGATTATTTCGATTATTGAATACGATATGATGATATTATTGATCATTGATTGTGGAACAGATCCGTTTACATTAGCGAAAAAAATGAAAAATTCCATTAAATATTTTCAATCCATGTAGCTCGATATAATTTATTCTGCATTTAAACATATAAACGTCATTTGAAAAATGTGAAAATTGAATCAAAATGAATCAATTCCTTGAGATGACGATAATGATGTTGTGAACGATATGAATTGAAATTAAAGGTGTGAACATCATTCATGTTTAGGATGCAAGCGAAAACCTCCTATCAGAATTTATATTTTAACTCATATCAAACAAAATCATTCAGTAGCTTTTTCCATGGAGAAATGTGGATATTTTTTTCACAAACAAATAAACAGTAGTTGCTTTGATTTCTATGTTTGTGTTTGGCTTCAACTTGGTTACCATTTCCATTTCATGAAATGAAAAAAAAGAAGCTTTTGAATTCAGGTGAAAAAATCGAAACCGAAAAAAACGAACACAAAAAACGACAAAGACAAATGATAAATTACAGCTGTGTAGAAGTGTAGCTTAAGTGTATGTGTTTCTATGTTGATCATCTTGGGCAATGTGTAATTGAGAATTTGAAGGAAAAGACCAAGCCAAGTCAGGTTTGGTTGGTTGTTTCAATTTTCTGTCCACAAATTCATTCGTTCGTTGTATGTTTTTTTTGGGCAAAAGTTTTTCTATTTCGTTAAAATTAAACTCCTAGATGAGTGTATGGTGTACGTAAAGATAATATGTTTGTTGTATGAAATGGAAAAAAAATTCAGATATTTCCTCGATTAATTATTATTTGCTCGACTAGCATTCGTTCTGGCTGTTTGTGTTTAGAATAAATTTTTTTTTTCCAGGTTTCAGTTCATTTTTGTTCAGATCAATTAGAAATGAGAAAAAAAAATCCAAGTAGCAGCTCTTCTTTTACATATGTTTTGTTTTTGTTTGAATTTTCTCTGAAAAAGTCTTGTTAGTTTTTGGTTACTGTAGTAATTATTGTATTAATTATCGTGTACATGGATGAGTTTTTTTTCAATGGGCCAAAATAAGAATCGATCCAAGTATTATTATGGACCCAATTTCTCCATTCATGATCATCATTATTATTCGCTGGACTAAAAAGTTTTGAATGTAATTATCTCATAAAAATAATAATTATTGAATGAATGCTACCGATAAACCATGAATTCATTCAATTAATTTTTTTAAATGAAGGTCGAAATTTTTCTGTTTTTGTGGAAAATTAATTATAAACAACATCGACGATGTGTTCTCGATATATTCATTTCTAAATTGTCACTTCATTATCATCCTCATCATCTTGAAAGTTTCAAACGGATGAATAATTATGAATTTTAATTTTTTCTCTCTCTCTCTTACACATTCATTGTTGCTACATATATGCAATTTATTATGAATTTCACTTAACTGGAACCATGATCATAATAAAAAAAAATTATTCATTCAAATCAAATCTTTGCGAGTCGAGTTTCTTGGTCGGAAAGTTAATTTTTATTTTTATCTGAGCAAACACATTACAGGCCGCGGCCTATAAATAAATCTTGGATGATGATTATAGCTACTGTTTATTTATATAAAGGCAGGTGAGTGTGTGTGTGTGTTCAGTCTTCATCGTCATCATCACTATTATTAATTAGCATCGAGATTAGCGAGTTTAACATTTTTTAGAAAAAAAAAAAAAAATACAAGGCTTGAACATTTCCTGTCTTATTGTTTTTGTTTCATTTTCAAAGATGACAATTTGTTGTTGTTGTTTATTGTGATAAATTAGCATATTATACATGTTTGAAGCCGATAATTTTTTGTCCGAAATCAAATAAAATTGACCATTTTTACTTTGTTCAAAATTATCAGTTTGACCATAGTTTCTCACCATAATAATAATCATCATTATTATATGAAATTATAGTGATGAACGTCACTTGTTTTGTTTTTATTTTAGAATGAAACAAAACGCCCATCGTTTAGTGTGTTTTGTCCACTCGAACAAACATAGTAACAACAGGACAATTGATATAATGAGAAAAAAAACATTGCTGTCAGTTCCGTTCTGTTGTTGTTGTTTTTTTTATCGTAGGCATCCGTTTTCTTATAATCATTTTTTTCAGCAAAAATAAAA